GTTACAGTTATTCCTGAATACTTCTTTTTTTTTTTGGGGGGGGGGGTTATTGTAAATGATATTTTTTCCTGATTTCCTTTTGAGAGTTCTAACATTGTAGGAATCCAACTGATTATTGTATGTTGATGTTATACCCTACCACTTTGTTGAATCTTTTATTTGATTTCAGTAATTTTCTTGCTGACTGTTTGAGATTCCCATGTATAGGATCATACGTATCATCTGCAAATAGAGTCCAGCTTCTTCCTTGCCAGTTTGGACAGCGGAATTTCCCCTTCTTGCCTTATAGCTCTGGCTGAGATCGCCAGCACAATGCTGAGCCTGACCCTGAGAAGGGATCAAGCACACCTTGCCTGTTTCTCATTCTCATGAGGCATGCTTTCCGTCGCTCTCTATGGGCTGTCGGCTTTGTAGACATGCCCTGAATTAACTGGGGCAGTGCTGTGGGCTCATGTGCTAGAGTGCAAGGTTGCTTTGAACTGCAAGATCGGCAGTTCAACCTCACCAGCGGCTCCTGGGAAACACTAGACAGGGTCACTATGAGGCGGAACCGACTTGACAGCACTTCACAACATCAATAACAATTAAACATTTGAGGAATTTCCTTTCTATTCCTACTTTATTGAGTATTTTTACCGGGAATGGGTGCTGGATTTTGTTGAATGACTTTTCTGCATTTTAATTATGTGGTGGACTATGTTGGTTACTGTTCTAATGCTGAACTACCCTCTCATACCTGGTATAAATCTTATTTGGTCGTTATGTATTATTATTATTGATATGTTGTTAGATTCTATTGGATAGGATTTTTGTTGACAACTTTATAGGAATCCAACTTCATGAGGGATTGTTGTTGTTGTTGTTAGGTGCCATCGAGTCAGTACCGACCCACAACAACCTTATGCAGAGCAGAATGAAACACTGCCCAATCCTGGGCCAACCTCACTACTGTTGCCACACTTGACTCCATCGATACTGCCACTTGGCCAATCCATCTCGTTGAGGGCCTTCCTCTTTTTCTCTGACTCTCCACCTTACCAAACATGATATCCTTCTCCAGTGACTGATCCCTCCTGACAATGTGTCACAAGTATGAGAGACGAGGTTTGGTCATCTTGGCCAACAAGGAACACTCTGGCTGCACTTCTTCCAAAACGGATCTATTGGTTCTTTTGGCAGCCTATGGCACTTTCAATATTCTCCTCCAACACCATAACTCAAATGCATCAATTCTTCTATGGTCTTCCTTATTCACTGTTCAGCTTTCGTATGCATATGAGGTTATTGAAAATACCATGGCTTGGGTCAGGCGTACCTTAGTCCTCAAGCTGACATCTTTGTTCTTCAACACTTTAAAAAGGTCTTGTGCAGCAGATTTGCCTAATGCAATACACCACTTGATTTCTTGACTGTTGCATCCATGAGTGTTGATAGTTGATCTAAGAAGAATGAAGTCCTTGGCAACGTCAATCTTTTCTCCGTTGATAAGAATGTTGTTTATTGGTCCAGTGGTGAAGATTTTTGTTTTCTTTACATTGAGTTGCAATCCATATCAAAGGCTGTGCTCTTTGATCTTTGTCAGTAAATATTTTAAGTCTTCTTCACTTTCAGCAAGCAAGGTTGCCTCATTTGCATATCACAAATTGTTACTGATGCCACGTTTTTCTTCATAGAACCCAGCTTCTCGGATTATTTGCTCAGCATACCAGATGAATTATATGGTGAAAGAATACAACCTTGTCACATACCTTTCTTAATTTCAAACCATTCAGTGTTTCCATGTTCTTTTTGAACAACTACCATGTACAGATTCCTCAGGAGCACAATTAAGTGTTCCAGAATACTCATACTTTGCAATATTATCCATAGCTTCTCATGATCCACACAACCGAAAGCCTTTGCTTAGTCAATAAAGCACAAGTAAACATCTTTCTGATATTCTCTGCTTTCAGTCAAGATCCATCGGACATCAGCAATGATATCCCTCATTCCACAGTTTATTCTGAATCTGGCTTGGACCTCTGGAATTTTTCTGTCAATGTATGCTTGCAGCCGTTTCTGTATTACCTTTAGTAAACCTTTACTGGCATGGGATAGCAAAGAGATTGTCCGGTGATTTCCGCATTCCGTTAGGTCACCTCTCTTTGGAATGGGCACAAATATAATTTTCTTTTCCAGTTGTATTTTTGCCTGGTTTTCGTAGCAGCATCAGGCTAACTTCATAAAATGAATTTGAGAATTTTCCATCCTTTTCTACGATCTGGAGTAGCTTGAGAACAATTGGTGTCAGCCCTTCTCTAAACATCTGGTTGCATTCACCGATGAAGCCATCTGGCTCAAGGGTTTTGTTGCTGTTGTGAGTTTTCAGAGACCTTGTAATGGGTCTCCTCAGTTTGTTAGTTTAGGTAGGTAGTGTGCTTCTAGAGTTTATTTTTTCTGTTTTGAATGAGCCAATGACTGTTCATCCTATGTTATTACTGTTGTTAAGTGCCATTGAGCTGGTTCTCACCCACAGCAACCCTGTACAGGGTTTTTAAGGAGCGACTAGGGAGCTTAAACCACTGACCTTGTGGTTCAAACCAACTTTGCAGTCCAGTGCATGAACCTGCAGCGCTACAGCGGGACTCGGGACCCTAGAGTCCCTAGGAGTGGGAATGGACTCCACGGCAGTGGACTATAGGGTTTATCAGGGTGAACCGAATGTAAGCTGCACAAAGGCAGGGATTTGGCCTGGCTCCCTCTCTATCTCAGGGCCCGCAGACAGTACTGGACACAGAAACAACCCCAGGCCTTTGGAAAACCACAGACAGCTGCCACCATTGACCCCACAAGGTTAACCTGCCCCTGCTTCCCGAGTCTGCTCGTCCCCATCCTGCCCTTCAGTGGAGGACATTCTGGAGAGGAAGCCCAGGGGACCGCGTATTGAACGGAAAGCAGAAAGGCAGATAGGGTTGCTCAATGCCCCAGAGGCCAGACCCACCCCAGAAGCCATCAGCTCTCACAGGATCGTCTAGACACTGACTCTCCTTTGTAGAGGCTCAGGAAAATTCATAAACAGAAACAGTTCTAAGGAAATAAAGCTTATGATAAACATGCTTTCAAAGTTACTCTCCTCATACAGGGACCTAAAGGAACATTTCCAGTGGTTGAAGTGTCTTCTTTGCTCCTCTCCGCCATCTAAGCTCCTGTCGATGCAGAGACTTCAGCGTCATCAACTCACAGATGAGAATTAAAACGAACACCTGTACATTGTAAGGTTTTCTCGGTTCAGGATGGTCAGAACCTTTAGTGTGAGAAGCTTGGTCAGCTCACCATCATCACAAGAGGACCAACAGCCTGCCGCCTACTCCAGCAGGTTCTCTGTTCTGCTATAGGTGCGGACTGTGCATGCAAAGAACAGGCGGAGAACAGATCCTGAGCTCTTCACATCTCTTAGCAATGCAGATTGCCACAAAGCACAGCCAAGACACACAGACACTCAGACAGAAACACAACTAGGAGAGAGACCAAGAGAAAGAAAAAGAGGAAACATACCTTCTATCAAGAGCTCTTGTCCGTGACTGCCCAGCAGGGTGCGGGACAGGAATGGTGCAAAGTCTACAAAAATTTCACGAAGAAGAGGAGCCACTTTTTCCAAAGCTCTTTCAAGCTTTGCTGTGATGCTGTTGGAATTAAGATATAAAGACCAATAAATATAACTCGACAGAAAATGGTCCGAGAAACTTATGTTTAAAAGAAAGTCTTTCAAAGTCAGCAAAGTCTAACTTTAGCCATGAACTTGTAACAGGCTTTGTGTAGAACGGACACCCTGTACTATTTTGCATATGGTACTATATACCACTGTTATCGGGTCAGTTCCGAGCCAGAGCGACACTGTACAGGGGTTTCGAGCCTGTAAATCTTCACGGGAGCAGACAGTTTCATCATCAACCTTGCGGTTAGTGTTGAGAGCTGCCAATACTCCTTACAGACAGCTGTAAGATGACTCAGAAGACAGCAGCCACAGGAGAACACGCCTCCTCCTCTGTCTGACAAGGCAGTGGCTTCTGAAGCCTGGAAGAGCCACAGTTTCCACTCATAGTTGTAAGAACTTCAGGAAACGTTGATCCTATATGGACCTTTTCAGTCTGGCCTTCTGTCCACCCACTACCTGGCTCTCTGTGACAGACAAGAAGACTTCACCTTGGCATTCTAGGAGTATTCTCTCCAGATATGAGAGAATGACTGCAATTCCGAAAACAGTTAAATTGATTTTTGCCACATTAGGCATTTTCTAACAGATAAATCCATTTATTCATTTACCAATACCTGCACAATTATGTAAGGAACCCAGGTGGCACACTGGGCTGACTATTGGGCTGCTAACTACAAAGACAGCGGTTCAAATCCACCAGTTACTCCGTGGAAGAAACATAAGGTAGTCTGCTTGCGTAAAGATTCAGCATCTCGGAACGTGGAGGGACCAGCTCCACTCTGTGCTAGAGACCATGAGGACTTGCTGGCAGAGGGTGACAAGTTATTTCTGTGGATCACACTAAAGTGTAATCATATGGTCTTAGTTACATCCTCTTAGATAGTCTTTTGTGTGTGTGTGATTTGAGTGAAAGTTTACAGGGCAGATCATCAGATTTACATTCAACAAATCATCTACTTTGTTTCATTACAATGATTATAATTCCATCCATGTACTATCAGTTAACAGCATTTCTCTCTATTCATTTAAGCTCCTTTTTAAACTCAGGCATATACAAAACTTTATACCACCAAAGGGGGCACATTCTGCAAGCTTGCATCCTGGCCACCAGCTCTCAGTCCCTCTCTTTCCATGAATCTAGAGTCCTCAGCTGCTCCCTCTCTTCATGTCCCCATCTCTGCCTCCATGTCTGGTGTCGCTGCTTCTCTAGATAGGGTCCCACATTCCGCTTGTTCTCTTCTCCCTTGATGGTCCTAGGGTCCTCTGTTTATGGACTATAAGATTAACCACTCCCCCATTTTTGTTACAAAATTTCTACCTTTACAGTTGTGACAGTCACATTAGTTATGATAACAATTACTCACTACTGAACCATAAGAATCTTATCCCCATCTCTTTTTACCAGACCCATCTAGACAAGATGATGACTGTTCAATGGGGACTCTATTGTCCCTCACACACTCTTAAACTAAACTCCCCCTTTAAACCTTGTAAGCCAATCACTTTGTGCCTTTATTGCCCCCTCATTTTTGGTTGTCATTGTCTAAGTTGCCCGTCCCTATATACCCTGTGTACAGAGGGGATAGTATTGGTACTTGATGTGAAGACTCCTTCCCTCTCTGTTGGTATTTTGAGCTACTACCTCCATGAGTATACGTCAAGTTTATCAAACTGTAGCAATTTACCCTCATTCCCTTTATCAAAAAAAAAATTTTTTTTTAACCATGCTATAGTCGAGTTCTGATTATCAAGTCATCAAGGCTAGATCAAATGAATACTAGCTGCAAGTTTCAGTGTTCTTGTGCATCTCCCCTCACTTCATATCAGCTGAATGCTTCACTTTCAGCTCTAGCTCTCTGAGCTATGTCCTTGCCCATGGGCTCAGGTGTCCCCAGGTCTCACCACACTTCAGACCAACCAGCCCTTCCTCTTTTCTCTCTCATCTCCAGGTCAATGGAAGTCTGTGGAACGTGGTTGAATTCAGCCCATTTCTTCATTGCTGTCATTCCCCCTCTTCCACTCACCAGTAGACCAATGTGGTCACCAGCAAGCTTACATATCTGCTCGTATGTTCCTTTTCCCTGGAGGGACTTAGGGTCTTGATTGCTTGCCTTGATGGCTTCCCGGTGAACAACTAGCTTATTCTTGTAGTAGCCAGTCATACTGCCATTTTTGTTTTGGTTTTTTCCTGCTGACCTTTCCTTGAAGATGTATCTTCTGTTGCTCTAGCTCTTCCAGGCTGGTCTGCTTGTCCTTCCTAGTGGAATGTCCCACCTCAGAAGGTTGTGGATGAGACTCAGGATTCCACCTGTGGTCCTATACACTACAGAAGCTCTGCAAGAGGCGTATTTCACTGGGCAAGGTCTAGAACCCATTTTAGGTATCCCAATCAGTTATAGGCTTAAGATGGGCTTACAAGCTTTCTGTAATCATGTTTTCCAACATTTCTCTCTATACCACTCAGGTGTCTATTTTATAATAGTTACTGTTGTTGTTGTTAAGTACCGTGGAGTCGGTTCTGACTCATAGTGACCCTGCACAGGGTTTCCGAGGCTGCAAATCTTTACGGGAGCAGAAAGCCTCATCTTTCACCCACGGAATGGCTGATAGTTTCGAACTGCCAACCTTGAGGTTAGCAGCCTGATTCATAACCATTAAATCAATAGCCATAAGACAGTCAAGCATCTTAACATTATTTCCTCTCTTCAGACTATGCCTCGATCCCTGTATCACAGAGCCCTGTTGTTCCCAGGTTGAGCATGCATCACTATTTACCTTTGTCCCACTTAGACCATGCAAACCTGTCTCAGTGTTTCCCTATCTACCTTGTTTTCCTACCCTGCCCTCCCCCATTAAATAATCTTAAAAACATTTTGAGAAGTATGTGTAAAACACAGAAAATAAAAGTGAATGCACGTGGAACATACTTCAGAATAGACAATGTGTTCGGCCACAAAACAAGTCTCCTTAAATTTGCAAACATCAAAATACTATAATGCATCGTCTCAGACCACAATGCTATAAAATTAGAAAAATTAACAATATGAAGACAAAGGAAATAAAGTCAAATAGATGAAAATTGAATAACAACCTATTTAAAAAGCTACTGGGTAGTAGAAGAAATAAAGTGTAAATCCACAAAGTTCCTAGAAACAAATGACAATGAAAACAATGTATACTAAAACTCTGGTACATCGCAAAAGCAGTGCTGAGAGGACAGTTTACTTCAATAAATGCACACATACAAAAAGAAGAAAGAACCAAAATCAACACATTAACACATCTCTAACAACTAGAAACAGACCAGCAAAGTAAACCTACAGTCAACAGAAGAAAGGAAATAATAAAGATTATAGCAAAAATAAATGCGATAGAAAACAGAAAAACTATGGAAAGAATCAACAGGACAAGATTTTATTCTTTGAAAGAATAAAACCGACAAACCACTGGCAAACCTAGCAAAATAAAAAAAGGAAGAAGACACAAATAACACACATAAGAAACCACATGGGTGATGTCACAATGGAATCAATGGAAATCAAAAGGATAATAACAGAATACTATGAAGAATTGCACTCCAACAAATTTGAAAACTTAGAAGAGATGGATACATTTTCAGAAAAACACGATTTACCTATACTTAAACAGAGTGAAGTG